TTTTTTCAGTGGCGGGGGATGGGGACGGTTGGTCGGTTTTCTGTTTCAACTATAAAATCCTAAATATCAGATAATTATACGATTTTATTGAACTTTTCGGAAATAATTCCTTGTTTTTTTTGGTTGGTAGGGTATTTATTTATTTACGCGTCGCCCACTAAAAATAACGTTTATAGTAATAAGAAATGAAATAAAATCCTTTCAAAAATGACTGTCGTATCCATTTTGGGTAAAAAAAAAAAAAAAAAAAAAAATGAAGCTATCAGATCTAAATTCGTAGAAGTTCCCGGCGAGGAAAACGTATTTTCTTTAAATGGGTCATTCAAGCGTACCTCTGTCAGGCTGGTGGCCGAACCGGTAACCGCACACTTTCGCCCAAAAAGTGGTTTCCCACGTGGTAAATAAGGACGCAATTTCGATTCCTGTCATCGGTGGCGCAATTTTTCGAAAGCAGGACTTCTCAATGTCACGGTTTAAGAAAATTTTAGAAAAAAAAAAAAAAAAAAACAGCGATAGCTACTTCAAAATGTGTAGCCACTAAAAATAATGTTTATAGAATAACCATTGAATTAAAATATACATGCGCACTGCAACCAGATATACACTTAATTTGATTGAAATCTGTGTCGTGAGAGCTAATTTTCCTTTCCATCTGGCAACAACCCCGGGGTAACAGGTAATCAGCTGAAATTTGTAGCCATTTCATCCCATTTTTATGAATCTTTCTGTATGTAAATTCAATATATTTTCTAATAGATGTATTATTTTAAAAGGACATTAAATGTAAGATCTGATCATCTTGCTGACAGCGAGGAGACAGGTAACTAGTACTTATATAAAATAATTTCTATAAATAGGAAATAGTTTCATATCGAGCTTAAAGGCCACCGTCTGCAGCCTTAAATTATTCATTTAGAAAAAGGAAAAAACAATTAGCCTAACAGCCATTATAATTAATATTTGCTCCAGTTAGCCAAATTGAGGTGGATGTAGTAGGAAGATTGTATATCGTCAATCTCCCAAATAGGAAAAAAACATTCACAAAGCCAGCTTTTTCCTTCCGTACAAAATCTTTACTATTTACACCACTGGAAAAACGCAACTGCCTCAGCCACCAAGCAGTCCATAACTGCACTATTTATGAAATTCGCGCTGGTGTAACGGATGTCTTAATATGAAAGATAGATAGATAACATCCGGTTCCGGCATTAGTGGCACGTATTTAAATTAAGAGCAGATGGAGATAATGATTTTTTAAAACCTATGACCATTTTTCTCCGCACTGAAATTTCTTGCGGTGTTCGCCGTTGTTGCCGACTTTGTGCTACAAATTTAAGCATGATTTAAAAAAGTATCCTGATTGCATGTCGACAAGACTTAAAGCAGATAGTTCGCGATTGTTCAAGGTGGCGAAGATGGTTAGGTGGTGTTAATAAAGAAAACGAAGCTTGGCAGAAATGAAAAGACGCAATATATTTGGCACAGGCTTCCAGGGTAGCCGTATTGTCATGTTTCTAGAACGGATAAAAACATTGTTGGGTTTGTCAATGTTGCTGGAACTATGATGAAACGCTAGCGTCTTTTTGTAAAAACCCTTTCGATCCAAATGCAATATAAAAGTCGTAAAAAATCCCAGTTTATTATATACTATTTGAATCTTTGCTGCTGTTGCAACGGAAAACGGCTCAGAGTTAAAAGTCAAAGAGCCGAGTCTAGTCAGGTTCATCATATTCACTTACACACTTGGGAAAGGTATGAATCCACCTTTTCTCTCCCACGCTATAGGTTAATTCGTAAGACTTGTATCAGTAAATCATTATTATCTCCCCACAAATCCTTACAATCTAAAAATATTTTCTACCTTTTTAAAGAATCTGCGAAAGGGTTGATAAATCGTAAAAAAACAATTCATGTAATTTAAAGAGTTTGATGATTAAATCACGTGAACTGATTAATATTTTTAAAATATTTAAAAAATAAACTAACAAAATACAGCGAACATTAGAAATGAGATGCCACGGAACCATCCTAGGAATCTCCTAAGTAGACAGCGTCAGAAATGACGTTGTTCGAGATACCATGAGACAACAAGTGGGCCCATTGGAAGAGGAAGTTGAGATGGTATGGCCACGTCATAGGAAACAACAATATTCCCATTATCATTCTACAAAGTACCACCCCCAGACAAAAGAATAGGCAGACGGGAAAAGATGGTTTTGACGATGTCACCAAGTGGACTGGAATATCCTTCAGAGATTCAGACATTGACACGCAACTTAAAACATATGGAGAGAGTTGGTCAGATTCTCAGCTGAGCAGAGAGTCTAAGAACACGCCCAGTCACGGGAATGACGATATGCCTTTTGCCAGAGTAAAAACAAAAACAAAAAACGGATGTCTGTTGTGAAAATATCCAATTTTAATATTTATCCCGATTCATTTCTAGTTAACATCCTTTTTTCGCTTTCCTTGATTAACCCGTTCGATGCTAATGATGTACAAATGTCACATGATTTTTTTTTTTACCACCCATATAAAAATTTCTTTCTATTTAAAAATACATTGGATCGAAAGAGTAATGTTTATACCAAGTGAGCGCTTTAATGTAGTGGTTAACAACTCAGCTACTTATTATCTTGTGCCAGACTAAACTAAGTTATTTTTTATCTATCTATGGAGCATTGGTGAGACAGCCAGCCAGCCTCTCAGATCATAGCTATTGTGAGTTCGATCCTCATTATATGCTAAGGTTAGTCAATATCATTTGGGCAGAATAAAAAAGGCTTAAAGGCCACCTTCTGCAGCTTTAAATTATACATTTAGAAAAAATTTAAAAAATCACTTGGCTTCTACTAACGTCTATTATTATTAATATTTACTTCATTTAGCCAAATTAAGGTGGATGTAGTAGGAAGATTGTGTAGCGTCAATCTTTCAAATAGGAAAAAATACTTAAAAAGCCTTCCGTACAAAATCTTTATTATTTATACGACTGGAAAAATGCAACTGCCTCAGCCACAAAGCAAGCCACAACTACACTTTTTATTAATTTGGCGCTGGTGTGACGGATGTCTAAATATGAAAATATATAACTTCCGGTTCTGGCATTAGTAGCACATATTTAAATTAGGAGCAGATGGAGGTAATGATTTTTATAACCTATGGCTATTTTTCTACGCACTGAAATATATGGAGAAAAACGTCCGGAGAATTTGACACTCACAGGACAAATCGAAAGTAGAAAAACGAAATAGTTCTAGCATCTCTGCAGGGGAAAAATGGCTTGTTACTTTCAACATCTATTGGGAATCAAGTTTACTCCAGACCTTAAGTCCAAAGAGTCGAACTGCTCTTTCCCATCATATTCCATTTGTAAGGAAGAAGATTCACTCAGCTATTTTTCCAAGAACCGCTGCTTTGTGGAACAGACTCCCACGGGGATGCTTCCTCTGACGCTACTGTCTTAACCTCTTCGAGCCAAGAATCGTTACCCATTTTCGATATTCTAATGTTCACTTTCTACTCTTACATTTATACCACACAACTCTTTCAGTGACTTTACCTTGAGTAGCTCTCAAGCCTTATATTACGTGATCATTGGTACTCCCACCACCTTTATATGTACCTTTATTACTGTATTTCAAAATATAAACTTCAAAAACTACAGCATAAAACACACATATCACTGCCGGTAGTAATTATGTCCACACAAACATGTCTATGCACAAAAGCTGGGTATCATCTACCATGTATTCAATTGTGAAAGCAGAATAACATATTATATTTTTATTACTTCAAAACTCCCCCAAAATTTAAATTTCGGCATTAAATGACCTATAAGGTGTTGATATGCTGTTAAACAAACAAATCGATCAATCAATATATCAGTTTTCTTTAAAAGTTCTGTCTTTATTATTATTTCTGTACTATTGTACAGGGCTTAAGATCCACTCAAATAAGGTCGTTAAGGTAGAATTGCATATTATTAGGATAAGTAAGATAGTGACAGTTCTCGGAAGAGGCTGTCTAAGTGCAACTTCCTCCTTACTAATGGAATACGAAGGAAATGAGGCTGGGTTGTCGTATAATGCCATGTAAGTGGCATGGCGGGCCCTAGCTGTGAAGGTCTGAACTGGTGGAATTAAGAGATGATATTGACTGGAAGTGTGAACATTTGAAAAACCCTAAAGAACACCTTGGGTCTTTTTAAAGGAATTTTCTAGGCCCTAAAAGTACAAAATATAAATACTAAAGAGATACCTTTTAATATTTGTATATTAAAGGTATTGAAAGAATTACCCAGACCGAATTATCTAAATGTACGCGGAGGTGCCTAGATGTGCTGGTAGAGTATTAAAATATTTACCAAAGCTCCACAGAAAATTAAATTTTGGCATTAAATAACCCATAAGGATGTTGATATGCCGTTAAACAGACAAATCAATCAACCGATTAATCTTTACAAGAGCCCGATTAGACCAAAGTTGGAAATTACCATATCTGGTCTGAAGGTGCTCAATCGGCACTTTGCAGTCTTGATAGAGTTCTGAATTATTTATGCCGTCTGGTTAGGGAAGATTTATTTCTCCACTCTACAGCCTCCTTCCCCCACCCCAACATACGCAACGTTGCAAGTCCATCGCCTCCCTACCGGTATTTCCGTAGATAATGCTCAGATGAGCTCCATCCTTTAGTTCCAGCAGTTCAGGCATTTACAGCAAGGACTCGCCATGCTACTTCCACGGAGTTGAAACATCCTCATTTCTCCCGTATTTCAAATATAAGGAAAGAGTTTCCCAAGAACTGCTACTCTATGGAACTGACTCCGGAACACTGCAATTTTAACCTCTTCAAGTCAAATGTAAGTCGTTATAGATCTTCGTTATCATTGTAATCTTCACCGCCTTCTACACCCTCCTATGTTCATATCACAAACCACATTCAGTAAACATCCACCTTGGGTGTCTCTTGAGCCTTGTACTGTGCGAACTTCAGCTATCCTACTTGACAAGTTTGAGCAAATGGAATGTTGAACAAGTGCCACGAAGACGAAGTGGGGTCGTAAGCGAACAAGTATTGTTGAGGACAGAAGAAGAGAAGCTGTGGAGGGTTAGGGTTGCCCGCTAAAGGGAGATGACAAATCGAGAAAGCGAGAGAAAGAGATGCTATGCGTATGTAGATGAGAGCTTTGTGATATGTCCTTATTATGGCAATGCATCTGTTAAACAATAGCAGAGTGACGTGTACAAAAACATCGGCACAGATGACCAAATGCAGTTGAGGTCGAAGTTCCACCTGCGCTGCGTCTGCAATGAGACTCCTTTACAGACTGGCGAGTATTGAGATCACAAGAGGCTTTTGTCCTTGCGAAAAGGTGAAGAGGTTGTCAATGAGATTGCGCAAAATAACGAAGAGGTATGAGTCGAGCAGCTCATGTCGACTCTCAAGCGTCATTCGTCGAACATCTGTGGTTAGTTGCCGCTTAGCCACGTCGAATGAAGGTAATGCGATCAGACTGAATGACTTAAGCAAATTAATTAGTTCATAATTCATTTCTTTTATAGTTAGCGTTATTAATTTCCTCACCATACACTGCCTCTATGCAATCTCAAGTCTTTCATTTTTTTTTTTTTTTTCGACGGAAGCGCATTACGGGCCAATTAGACCCCCTACATACACACAGTTCTTAGACCTTATCTGAAAAAGACAGATGATGTGGACAGATTTGATACTCCCAGGAATGAGCAGTGTTTTTCTTCTGTTGAAATATTCGAATTCCTTTTCAGTTAAAAGAGCGCGCAATTCGCAGTGTTGAAACGGTGCGTCATTTAGTACAGTTTGCCATAAAACGTCATAGAATGCAGCAGACGAAAACCACAGAGAGAGAGAGAGGATGGAAGGGAAATAGATGAATGAGAGAGAGAGAATGAAAGCTAGACAGGCAGTGAATGACAGAGAACTAGATGGAGAGAGGGTGACACAAATGAAAGGCTGAATCACAGAGGATGAGAAAAAGATATGAAGGAGAAAAGGGAGAGAAATCTTAGAGAAAGGGATGAAAGAGAAGGAGAGAGAATGAATGATTCTCTCTTTTTCTCTTCTTCATCTAAGAAGAGAAAGTGAGGGGATGATTGATAAATAGAGAGAGGGTGACGGATTGGGAGAGGATGACAGACTAAGAGGAGGAGGACAGCGATAGATGAAGAGGAGACAAAATGAAACCGAGATAGATCAAGAGGAGAAGGGGATAGAAAGGAAAAGAGAGTGAGAAATGAAGAGGGAAAAGCGGATGAAAGGGAGATAGGCGAAGTTAGAAGATGAGATAGAGACGTGAAGAGAGAGGATGACGGGGAGAAGGGGAGAAGATGAAAACGAGATAAATGAAAGCGAGAAGGGGAGAGAATGGAATAGAGATGAACAAGGAAAGAGATATGGTGACAGAGAGCTAGACGAAGAGAAGGGAAGAGAATGAAAGTGAGACGAGGAAAGAAAAGCAGATGAAAGGTAGATTTATTAAGGAAAGAAGAGGGAGAATAGAAAACAGAGAGAGAGAGAGAGAGAGAGAGAGGGAGAGAACTGAAAAGAGGATGACCGATAGATGAAGGTAAGAAAGAAGATGAAAAAGAGATGAAGAAGTGAGGATGAGTTCGATAATATAAACAAGTTAACACTATTTCTGAAATGTCTTTTCTTTTCTTAAAAAATAATTCCAATTCTAGCGCTGAACACAAAAGGCTTTTAAGTACGTCCATAGATTCAGTCTAGACGCCTCCAAATATGACACAAGACCGTATTGATTGAGCACTCGGACATTATGTGAATTCTTTTAAAAGTTATATATGTTGATAGACTTCGTTATACTGTTAGAAAAAATCGTTTAAATTGTTTTAATGAATTGAATTTTTTTCTCCGCCTCAACCTCTTTTTTCTTCTCAAACCCACCAGTTTTACCTCACTTTTCTGTCTGCCTCCATCGCTTTTTACCTCTATTTTCCTTCATCCTCCATCATTTTTTTGCCTCGCTTTCCGTCTGTCTCCACCACTTTTTGCCTCTTTTCTCTCTGCCTCCACTACTTTTTTCATCTCTTCTTCCCTCTCCCTCCACCAGGTTTTGCCTCTCTTTTTCCCTCTCCCTCCACCACATCTTGCCTCTCTTTTTCCCTCTCCCTCCACCACATTTTGCCTCTTTTTTCCCTCTGCCTCCATATTTTGTGCCATATTTTCTTTCCCTTTTCTCCACACTTCTGTTCCTCTACCCTTTTACATCTTCCTGTGCATTACACATATTTTATATTAGAAAGAAGTTCAACGTTTCACTAAAACATGACAGAATTATTTAAATATTTGTACTGTTGAATTGATTATATTCTCTATTTTTTTTATATTAAGCATAAAGGGAGATTACTGGTTCTTTAAAAACAATTTACATTAAAACTTAATCTAGATCAACTGATTTGAGCTGATATTTATTGTTATGCCTACATGTAACCATTAATTCATTTCTCTTGTTTAATACGCTAGAGTTATTTGTTTTAAGATAACTAATTTTTCAACAAGACATAAATTATATCTATTTCCTTCCCCATTGTAAAAAAAAATGGTTTTAGCTACAATGTCCCACGTAATAATGGGTGTATTACAACCATTCTTTAATTGCCACAAATGTTTTGAGAGTTTTGCTGTTTATGTATTTTATATTGCCTAAAGTCATGTGATGATGGTTCAGTGAAACGAAAATAAAATTTGACATCGCTACAAAGCTAGCATACATTTCGGTAACGATGTCCGGTAACGATTCTGTTGATGGTATATTGAAACCTGCGCTACCCCGACTACATGCACCATCCTTCCTCTCGACTAAACCGACAAGATCCAAGGGAATATAAGGCATTACATTGGGGGTGGGGGCGGTTTGGCTGCAGGAGTTCCGGAATGTTGTCAGGGTTGACAGCTAACCGCTTTCCGGGCTCCACTCTGGGTTTTTGGTCTTGATGTACTTCCATTAACCTTTTCCGCGTTTACGATAGGCAGCGGAGGTTTCAAACCAGCGTTTTCCCTTCCCCTAGACGGACTGCCTTCCTTGGGTGTCGTGCTCCATCCACCGGAAGCACCTATTTATGAGGCGACTGTTTTCCGCCTTCGCTGATTCTCCGATTTTATAGACAGCGGATTGTTGTATATAATGCACCTATATAAACATTATATACATTAGGTGTTTTAGAAGCTCCAAAACAATTAATTTTTTATATATATATATATATATATATATATATATATATATATAACATTAGGCAAACAAAAACACTAGAAAGCAAGACAAATTATGAAATAGTACATAAATAAACAGACACAAATCTCGAAAAGTTTATTAATTTTACAAAAAGATGGCAGAAGCAAAAACTGATAATATAAATCGGGGTTTAAGCCTACAATACTTGGAGATTATGAAGCCATTATTTATGACATACGATAAAATAATTTATACTACTTCTTTGACAATACTAACACCTAAACTAACAATTGATAAGAAAAAAAAGATGAATTAATTGATAAATATAAGTTTATGTAAGCAAAAACAGAAAGTAAAAATAAGAGAAACGATCTTCAGGTTAGTTGTACAAAAACAAATACTAACACAGAAAAACATGCTAACTGGAAAAAGTTAAAAGAAGTAATAATAAACAGTAGATATATAACTTCAAATAAATATAATAATCATATTATAAATTGAACTTATTATTGTTATAACAACATCAATAATGATTATTATGATTATTGTAAGCATTTCCAGTTCCATTTGCGAATGGCATCAAGACAGATCCAGGCTGGCGTCAAGACAGATCCAGACTGGGATCAAGACAGATCCAGGCTGGCATCGTCAGATCCAGGATGTGATCAGGACAGATCAAGGCTGACATCAAGGTAGATCCAGGCTGTGATCAAGACAGATCCAGTGGGCAGTTAGAAATAATATAAATCAAATAGAAGAAATAATTGTGAATTAAAATATTATTTTTTAATCACTATTTGTGTTTTTCAGTTAAACTTAAAATCCGTTAATTTTTTTTGACTTTCGACAAAACGCGTCATCTTTCATTGAGTTCAGAACGCCAGTAAGAATAGCTAAAAACAAATTCACTTTCATTTGTGTTATTCAAAATTTTGACACAAGGCCGAAGCGGAAATAAAGAAAGACTGGTGCTCATTAGCTAATCCTAAACTTAGTTCATCCGAATCACGGCCCGTTTATGATTAAAATTTACTTATTCACTACAAGAACTCTTCCTTCACCTTTCAATCCTGCTTTTACCAAAATACCACATATTCACAGGGGACTCGCAAAGCACCCCACGACATAAAATTTGTTAAAAATTGAAAATGTCCGTAAAAATGGCATAAACCATGAGATGATTGGCAGCGGATGAACCGAGAAAACAAACAGGAAATGTAACAAAAGGAAAAATAAATATAACAAATTTTAATAGGACCCGTCCACCCCCTCAAAAGAATAACAGTGGCCGCTATAGTCTGCCAATAAACAGACTCTTTCTTTCTTTCTTTCTTTCTTATTCTTTCTTTCTTTCTCTTTCATTCTCTTTCATTCTCTTTCTCTTTCATTCTCTTTCTCTTTTATTCTCTTTCTTTCTCTTTCTCTTTCATTCTTTTTCTTTCTTTCTCTTTCTTTCTTTCTCTTTCTTTCTTTCTCTTTCTGTCTGTCTGTCTGTCGCTTTCTCTCCCTCTGTTCAAATTGTTCACTGAGATTTCCCTCCAACGATAATGGTCGTCATTCGAACAAAGCAAAAAGTTAAAATTCAAGATCCTGATTTTTAAGACAAAAAAAACTCACATGCAATCCTGTATAGTGTTTGTTTTATAAGAGTTTTTAAACACATTTTATAAACTGCAGAGGCACTTCGACGCAGTGTAATAGTTAACAAGCTTGTCTCGCTAAATCAATTACGACTGAACAATGATTTAGATTCTCACTGGGTGCCCCACACTTTCGGCTGTGTGCTACGTCTAAGCTACCCTTAGAAAATCATCTTCTCCGGGTAGCTTTCTGCTACATCTAAGCTAACCTTAGAAAGTCATCTTCTCCGAGCAGCTTTGTACCAGACTAATTTAAACTTTGTAAATATCTAGTATATTTCTGTTCCTCCCGTAGCTTTTCTCTTTGTCTTCATATGTCTGGGAGTGTGGGTCATGTACACGAAAAAGATAAGAGTACTCATATCTGTGCCGTTCCATTATTTGGGCCTTAAAGACAATGAAACATGTGTTTTCTTGTTCGACTGCAATGTCTTTCTACACTTTAACAAATAATTTATTACGGTTATTAAGCTATTAAGAATTTTTTTAATCGGTATCACTCCATGCATGGCAATAAAGCCACTAAGACACAAGGGTTACACGGCGTGAACGAATTAGGAACAGAAACATTATTAATGAGTGGGAAGTGGAAAGAGTAATCAAGAGGACAGAAGATAGCGATTGACTTTATATTTAAATTTTTTGCAGATTAAAGTTAGCTGGAAAGCATGGGTGGGGGTGGTTATCAAGATTGCTTAGTCTGGCATAAGGCCGAAAGTAAAGATCACGCACATTAATAGTTTAATTGCTTGCTATCATATTTCCATTATGGGTGCCCAACGCATTTATTGATTTATTTGTTTCTTACGGTTTATCAACCCTTTGTGGCTTATTTAAAGTAGAAACATATTTTTGTTAGGATTAATTACGTTCTGCATTAACAATTTTGGGGAATAAATGATTTTTCCAGATACAAGTCCTCCTATTTAGCCCATAGCGAATGTATTTGCGCGTAAGTGATTGTAACAAATCCGACCGGAATTCGAACATCTCCCTCATTTCTAACTCCGAGCCACTATCTATTACACCACCCGCACATCCTCTAACGCTTAGTGAATATCAACAGTTACTTACTAAGCTTGACATAACCAGACATAAGTCTGAAGTAATGAGATACTTTGATTCTTACTAAACTAACCAACTTGTTAACCATCACGATACATCGAATCCACCGAAATAATGTTACTGTTTATATAAGTATACGTTTGATATTACTATATATATTATTAGAGAAAGTGAAAAGAAGAGGAAGTTCTGGAGAGACATGATCGCGCTCGTTCGGAGAGTCTATGGCAGTTAAAAGATGATAAAGTAAGTCATTATCAAAATGGAAACTGATCGTTTAAATTTTTTTCTCTTGTCAAACGAAGGCTGCCGAGTGCCTAGACATCGTTCCGTTGGAAATCATTTTGGCGTCGACTGTTAAATGTGGTCCAGTCAAAAATTCTCTGCAATCAAAATGACAAGAATTCCAAACATGTGTTTTATTTACGATAGAAGATCACATTAATTATTTCTCGACCTCATATTCTTTATCCTTTGATCAAAGGAGGAGGCACGACAAAACGTTGCTTTGGGAATAAACTTCTGCCCCCTGGTGGTGAACATTGTCTAAACAAAAACTTACGTGGCGACTGGCAACACTGCCGAAACATAGTTTTTGTTTATACATACATACAAACCGTTTATTCTAAACAGTTTTTATTTTGTCTACCGGCTTGCCAATTCTAATAAATAAATAAATATCTTTATTAGGTTTTCTTAATGTCTACTCAAATACTGATATACACTAAAAATAACGTTTGAAGTAATAAAAATATGTTGGATTAAAATATAAAATCCATTAATTCTTTATATGGGTGAGTAGGAGTGAGTACCCCCC